TAGCAGCGCTGTAGGAGGGGGACAACTGAAAACGGAGGCCTCCACCCCTGTTTAATGACGGACGGTCTTTCTTCACAAAAGAAGCCATTTTTGTGAAGTATATATTCAAAAGATTAGTCATATTTTCTTTTTACAACGAAACAAATCCAGTGACCTCTGAGTCATTTTCTGTAAATCTATAATTTGGACAAATTAAACCAGTCCATACCAACCTTTAGAGCTCCTGATTTGATTGYAATAAATCCGTAAACTCCTGTTTAAATCACAACATAAATTTAACAGCCTCGTGAGTAAAATGCCTGATTAGTGGTTGTGTAGGTGAAATGTTCCTTTTCAGCACTTCACACATCTTCTCATCTCTCCCATAAACTATTCAACCCTGACAGCATGTTTGTGTTCAAACAGCTGCGTATCCGTGCATGCTTCCAGACAAAACGTATTTTATTACAAGCAGACTGAACAAGAACAAAGTCTCTCTCAGGGCCAAATACTATCAAGGCAAACAGGGATCATGCAAACGCTCACCCTCTGGAAAAGAACTGGGAGATACCAGAAGTGGAAAAACAACTGCTGTGGAGGATTAGAAATTTGTTTCCTCCAGTGGGAAAAAATGATGAAACTCTGGATAATCAAAGTCTGCTATCAGCTGATTGATACTTCACCTTGTTGGCTCTCTACTCCAGAATCAATGGACTTTTTTAAAATTCCTACAACTTCTCACAAATAAAATATGTGACATCAAACCTGGGCACTTTGACAGAATAAAAATAAATCTAATATGGGCTGTTGTTGCAATAGATTGTTGTCACCGACGTCATTATCTGATTACCAGAGGTGAACAGTAACTAAGTTTGCTTTGTTACAGTACTTAATTTTTTAGAGAATTTGTAATTTTAACAAGTATTTTTATTAACTTTTACTTTACATTCATACTTCTTTACTTTAAAATATGTGATCCATCATGTTGAAACGAGGATTAAGTCCAAAAGTTGTATAAGGAGAAATAGGCAAATTTAGTGTTTTGACTAAAATGTTAACAAAAATTGCATTTTGTCAAAATATAATGAATATTAATGTATCATTTGAATGAACTGTCTGAAATTTAATCATAAAACAAAATTTTGAAGCACTTTTTTGAGCAGTAGCAACAAAAACCTGATTTTGAGGAAAAACGCCTTAAATTTTTTAGATTTTCCCTGTGAGYTAGCAAAGTTGTGTTTCTTTTCAGCTGTAAAATCTCAATTTTTAAACTAGACATGGGTTTTTATGATGTAAAAACAAGTGTGCATTGCCTTGCAGCATGTCATTGCAGCATGGTTTTGCCTGCAGCAGTGGATTTGCAGAATGAACTTTGACCAAGTTGAAATGTGTTTTCTAAACCAGCTTGAGCCTGTCACGTCAGCAGCTGTTTGAAATGAGGGTAACTGTGTGACAATATGAAGTTTGAAGAGATTTTTTTGTTAAAGTTGCAGCAACTGGGATTCAAACCCTGATTGCCCACACGAAAGTCCATAGCATCCAACTTGAGGCCATTGGAGCTGTGGGAAGGTGCAGTTCCAGTATAATTTTTTCTGTGTGCAGAAAAAGGC